TAAGTTTAATTACTCTCTCTGTTTTTATTTGAAAAAAAATATTATTTTTATTTATATATATATATATATAATCACCAATTTCAATAAACACTTATTACACATTTTCTAAATCATCTCCTATAATTTATATTAAGGAAAAAATAATTAATACATTCTTATGTTGATTAACATAAGGCATTTTAGTTTTTTTTATTTTCAGATATAATTATTATGGTTAACCACCTTTCTTAAATTATATGATACAATTTTTTTCTTACATATGAAAACAGAGAAAGTACTTAATAAGTGTCTTAATTATAACTATTAAATTTATTAATACTTAAAAATTATCAAGATATATTTTCATTCCTCACATGTTGTCTCTTTTAAATATTTAAAAATTTATACTTTTTAAGTATTATATACATGACAAAATTCCGTATAATTGTTAGACTTAATCAAATGATTGTTATCGTGTAATGCGAAACACTCATTAAATGAGTGAACTTAAAACTGACAGCATCCAAATCCTGTTATGTCACGCAAGGCATGGGTAAAAATTAAAATTATAAATAAGTGAAATGAATGGTGGACGGGGAATGCGTGAGACCGGAACCCTAAAAAACTGGAATTGTCGGTGTTACAGTGGTTTGATGATTGGAAGTTCATATGTTGGACTTGTTCGATCCAAGTTTTGAAGTATGGCCCAGTGGGTCCTAACAGAGGAAGCAGGTGACTTTAAACGTAAATGAAGGGCCGGACGTTGGGAAGATATTATAATAAGAAAGCAGTAGGAGATGTGGATAACTGGATACACACACACGCCGTTGGGAAGATGCAGAAGCTGGAGATTTAATTGGCGGGGGAGCCAAACGCTGCCCTATGAGAGGGAATCTGAAAAGCCAACATGAGAATCAAATTAGAGAGGTCAGCCACGTCATGCATGGTGGGTGGTTTCACTTTCAAAGTCGAACCCATGTGAGCCAACTTGCAAGACCTTACTTTATTGGAAAGAAAATAAACGAGAGAAAAGAGAAGGAGAAGGAGAAGGAGGAGAGGGCAATAATTGAAAAGTGGAATTGCATTTCATGGCTTCTGGTGATCAAATTCAATGATGAGGGTGATGCACTATGTTGTGAGTGTGGTGCGACTTTGCCAGTGACCAATTATGAGACAGCGACTTTGCATTATATTTCTACAACAGCAAGCAAGGCACCCCCAGGATTTGTTCATTTCTACGCTCCCCCCCTTTTAACGCCTTTCTTTCACTCTTTTTCAAACTCGTTCACTTTTCTAAAACCTCCTACGTCGATGAGCAGAAGTTTAAATGATATACACAGTATCAGAGTCACTTCGTAATTTCTCCCAAATTTTTGCTCTTCCGTTTTGCTTTTCTCTGCTATTTAATCCCCATTTCCTGCTTTACATAATTTTTTTTTTTGTTTATATTGATAACTCTCATTTAAATTCTGGTGTCAATAGCATCAATATATGGATATAATCAATACCACCGATGAATATCAAAAATAAAATCCGCAAGAAGTCGTTTTATTAATCATAAGCAACAAGATTCACCTCAAATCTTATAAAATGCAAATAATATTTAGAGGAGTGGCTAATACATTTGTTTTGGTCAAGCCATTAAATAGATATTATTTATAGTGGAGTGACATCGTTCTGCTTTCCTTTTCTGGGGTCAAAAATCTTTGCAAAATAAAAGTAAGACAGTCAAAAGCGTTGTATCAACTAGCTCTCACGGCAAGCTCTTAGTGATATCTTAAATATTAAGATTTTAAACAAGCCACCTTTAATATACATAAGCTTTTTTTTTTAACTTAATTTAATTATTGCCATTCACATGGTTTTTGCCGTGGCCTTTTTCGTTCCCAAAAAGATAAGAGTGTCATTTTTTATTTTGCAAAAGAAAATGTATTAACAAATTGTGTTTTGCATGACATAGAATAAATAACAAAGGGATGAAAATGAGAGTGAAAATAGGAATGCATGACTTATAACCTTGTTTGGTATGCCTGAAATAAAATTGGAATGTTTGTTGGCCAAAAAAGCAAGAATTAAAATAGGAATGTTCGTGTTACTGTGGTATAATAGCAGTAGGATTGGAAATTGAAAAAAGATAATAGCAATTCCCCACACTACCTTAAATAATAAGGTAGTGGTTGTAAAATAAATTGTATTTATGGGTAATTTAGACATCACACAATTTATTCCATAGAGCTACAGAACTCTCCTCTCTCTCTCTCTCTCTCTCTCTCTCTCTGTGTTTTTTTTTTTTTTTTAACGATTTGGTGGAGTTTTAGTGGAAGCAAGGAATAATTTTCATGTAAGTCAAACATTGGTGGATTAATATTGTTCTCCACATCCAGTTTCCATCATATGATATATTTTTTAAAAGGATTTTTTTAATTCTTAATATAAGACTATGAAAAGTTATTTATTATAATTTTTTAATTTTTAATTTCATTTTTATTGAAAGTTTAATTTCATGATTCAACATTGATTGTGTATCTTTAAAAAAAAAAAGATAAAATAGGCCCATGAATAATAAATAATAGAGGAGAGAGAAATGAATGTCATGGCTGCCAAGCTATTTCTTTTTGGTTTATCGTTGGATAGGGGATTTGTACATTCAATTTGATTTCATATTAAATGAAAATTAAATTAAATTGATTATAATCTCCCTCTGATTTTATCAGTCTAAACGGTTAAAATAATTGTTTTATTTTGAATTAATTTGACTTAGTTGGGTTTACGAGTTTCAAATGATTTGTTTTTAAGATATTTTATTAGTCTTGTTGGAATTTTTTTTATTCTCATCAAACAATACATTGTATTCCCAGAATTTTTTTTTATGATAGTATTCCCAGAATTTTTTTTTTAGTATTCCCAGAAATTTGGATGAGTTTGGATTGTCCCGCAAAATTTTTTTTTTCATAAAATAACGTATTGCACGTAGTTTAAAATAAATAAATTGTATTGTCTATAATTTGAGAATAATATAATTTATGATCTACAATAAAATGCTTTATTCACAAACAATAAATGTTGCGATTTTTTAATAGAAAATAACAAAATAACCATGTGCCGACCCAATTTTTCATGCTTCTTGTAATATCTTAAACAGTTAAAGTGTTGTAAGCCAAACCCTCTCGGTCTTTACTTTTAAAGTATATGTTCACTAAAATATGAAAATTAATTATCGCAATCTTAGAAGGAAAAACCTTCGGTACTTTTAAAATTATTTATTCACTATAAACAATTGGAAATTTAACAATAAATTATTTTCTGTTTTTATTTTTAAAGCGCACAAGTTGTTATCTATGCATTCTTAATCGAAGTTTTTATAGGTTGATAGCATTTAATTTTGTTAAAAAGATTGAAAGAGATATAATTGAATGAATAGTGACAATATCGAGGTTTTTTTGAAAATTGCTCATCGGTGAAAATTTGTTTAGTAAACAAATGAAAATTGAAAATATTTCCACTATTGTTAATAATTTTTTGGCCAAATACTATTATTCAAATAAGGTTTGAGGTTTATGTAACTAGAAATTTCATTTAAAAAAATAATCTGATACGCGTCAATTCGTTATGAAATTTATTTGACATTATTATTATTATTATTATTATTTAGAAAGTTGATATAAAGATTAAAGGGAGGGCATATAGTGGGAGGTGAGGTGGAAGTGACAAATGCGGCGAGACGCAGCGAAATGGGAAAGGGCATCTCCCCACTTTGCAATTTGCGTTTTCCCTTCTAACTGGCTTTTACTTTAATGCCCCCCGTCTTTTCATTTATTCCTTTCCTTCTGCCTTTCTGCTCCTGACGTGGCTCCCACATTCCTCCCTCATCTCACCCAAGTTAATGACTAGCCAACACCTTCCATTTTTAGAAGGGATTGTGAGTTCAAACTCAATATTAATATGTGTTGTATATACATGTGGATGCATGCATCTTCTTTTCTTTTTTTTTTTTAGAAAACGGCGAGATTAGAAGTAAAATTTTAAAAACAAACTCTAAAATCAAAATTATTTTCATCAAACATTTAATAAATTGACGATAATTGAACGCTGGGACGAGTCTTACTGAGGCAGGTCATATTGATATGATTTTAGTTTAAGTTTATTTTATTGGCCCTTCAAACTTAAAAATTAAATTTTTCCCCCTCGATTCCTTTTACATCCCTACGTCTCTTGGCAACGTTCAAAAGTCACCATCTCTCTCCCTCTCCTCTCCTGTCCTGTCTCCTTTCGTACGCTACTAATTACCATTACTTATTAGCCGCACGAACAAGCCAAAACTTTTGTACTTAATCAACAATAAGTTTTCAGAATAATTACAATTTTGTCCTTTTAAAAAATGGAGCTTGAGCCGTAAGTTTCGGTTTATAATTATCCAAAACTCATAGGCTGACTAGGATCACATGTTGACGGGTGCGTGCGTACCTGCATGCACAGAAACTGTGGGCGGATCAAACTTGTTTCATTAAACCCCAAATTTCAAACCTCCATATATCTTCTAATCCTTTTGTCTGTTTCATAACATGGCTACTTCATTTTTAACTTTATTAATCATTCACATTAATTTTGACTATGATCACGTACTCCTTCTACTGAATTTATCCGTGTTTTTAAACCACTTGTTGGTTTTCAAGTTTGGCCATCACGCGCCCCCTCTTCTTTACCAAAAACATCCGCAGAAATAAATATATACTACATGCATGATCTTCAAATTTCAACGCAGGTGCCTAGATTAGATTGTTATTCGGATCAAGTCTGACTCCTCTGACACCTCCGATGCGTCTTAGAAAACGGATCATTTGGTGAAATTTTGCTCTTCGGAAAATACCAAGTCCCCAAATACAAATACACGGGTTGTCTTGTCGAATATTACTCGGTATTAGTCAACTTTTTCAAATCTCCTTTTGATTTTTTGCAAGACAGAAGTGTCACAGATTTCGAGAGACGAAGTATTACATTTCCTACCGAGGAAAACAGTGAAGTAATAAATAACTGAAGCGACTGTAAATATCTGAGATTCTTCTTACATTATTCATGTCACACGGCTTTTACATGTATAGGCGAGTAAGTGAAAAAAAAAAATACATTTGATTTAGGAAAAGAGCAAAAACGAGAGAAGGATCACCGACGAACCTTCATCTTTCTCTCTCGGTCTAGAAACACAAACTAGAGAGAAATCCTGTGCCGGTATCTTGCAAAAAAACTCGCCGGATTCAAAATTTCCGGGAAAGCCGTCTTCCCCCAAGTAAAGCATGTAATAAATAAACAGATAGTTAATTAATATAGGAATATTACACCCGACTACGCGCGCGCGTGACGTTTCCTTGACGAAAACATGAATCTCAGATGGGTAGAGACTAGAGAGACCTCTCAAATGAATAGGTTGAGAAGCTTCGGGTCTCCGCCGTGAGCATGGTGATCCCCGATCCCACTTTCCAAACAAGTCACCGTCGTCACTGATTCTTCCGAGTTCATCGAAGGCGAACCCGGCCGCCTGACTTCCGGCTGCCAGCCGTAGGCAGGCACTTTTTGGAGGACGGTCGGCGTCAATCGGAGGTCCAGATCGGTCGTTTGGAGCATGGCAGAGTCATCGGACGATCTGAGTTTGCCGCCGGGAGAGACCTTGTTATTACATCGCAAATTCGAGTTGGGATCTCGGATCTTCCACATGTCATTGCACGTAACCTCTGCTTCAGATGCCTCGTCCGTGGCTGCGGCCGGCACCGGAGCATCCAGGCCTAGAAGCTCCGGCATGGGCTTCAACGTGCCACCGCGCAGCACAGTCTCCACAGCGGCCTGGCACACGTGCCAGTTTCCTGTCCATAGAAGGCCGACGGCTCCGTTCACAGGGTTGACCGTTCGCCCACACGCCTCAAACAACAAGGACTGAAACAGAGCTGCAAAAGCGGCACAAAAGGAAGCGTTAGTCAGATTTCCGGGAAGAGAAAATGAATTTCCATGTTATCACCGAAGGATTCAACTACCAGGTCTCTGGTTGGGAGGGACGTTAGAAATGAAAGACATGAGGCCTGCACGGCCAAAGAATTTAGCAACGAATACAGTGGCGTAACCCTGGGCTTGAGGGGTATCGATCCACTGCAAGCAAGGTCGCAATATACAGTTCTCACTGCATCCCTTTCGAAGAACTCGGCAGCCGTTGCAACTCATGCCTCTTCGGAGACTGTAAATGTGAAGAACACAGGGATTGGGATTACTTGCAGGAAGATCGGAGCCACATGAAAGAGAAATCAATTGGAGGGGAAGGAATCAAGGGGCTGGGTTTGGGAAAGGTGAAGAAGAGAAGCAAAGAATGAGAAGCACGGTGTGGTTGGGTTATAAATAAAGAGGGAGAGGTGATGAGAAGTGAACTGAGGCTGGGTTAAGATTTAACCTTGGTTAGGTTGAGGAGTTTGATTGGTGAGAGAGTGGGGCTGGGTTGAGTCAGTTGAGTGTGGTGTGGTGGATGGGGGGAGAAATGTGAGGTTATGTGAGCGAGAGAATGCGTCACTTTTGTGTGATGGTATTCCATGCGAGGAAGAGATTCTTCCAAAGTTTTGGGCGCAAGCGGCTCCGTGTTTCCGCAGTTGGTTGTTTATCCACCGTTGGATCGTTTTTCTTTTCTTTTATATATAATGATTTTTTTCCCCTTTTCAACTTGCCTATCTTGACAGCTCTTTTTCTGTTTTTTTTTTTCTGGGTCTACTTTCAATTTAATTAATTATGTGTAGATTCTTTTAGCTTCCTAAATTGTTTTTTTGTGATATTATTATTTTAAAATAACATTCAGTTTATTTTTTTCATTTTTGTGTGGGCATATCTCCAAATTAGAATTCAAAACCTTAAAATAAGTTGATTATGTCCTATTGAACCAAGTGTTGATAAATAACATTCAATTTTTCAAATTCTAGCATCTAAAATAAATTATATTTAATCATACAATTATTTTATTGATAATTAATTTTATATTATATAAATTATTTTTTAAAAAGAAAAATTTAAAAAGGCTTTGGCAGAAGGGGGAAAAAAGGATAAGAACTCGATATTAGCTACGCAAAGTTGAGATTGTCGATATAGTGGCACCGAATTTTCATCTTCCCATGGGAGCCCAAGTATAAGTATCAATGAAATATAATTAATTAAAATATTCAACATTGTTAAATTTCTATATAATTAATTCGAGTACATTGAATGCGGATGATGATGGGGTCCACTTCCTTCTTCCAATTGAAGTGCCAGTTTGAGCGATACTGATTTAATATTTTTTATTTTTTAAAATAAAAAATTAGTATAAATTGTAAAAAATTTTCATAAATCTGTTCATTATTTTGAACAATTCAAATTTAATATAAATAGTTTATATTTTTTATAAATTTACTATCTAGGTATGTTACAAGCAATACATGTTTAATATTAAATTAAATTTTTATAAAAATATTTAATCAAGATAATTCAAATCAAACATGAATGATCCAAATTTGCATCCCCTTCGATGAAAGTGCCTAGCAATAGTGAGAGTTGAAACTAGTTTGATGATAGTATAATACTCTCTCTCTCTCTCTCTCTCTAAATATAAAAAATAATCAACTTGCATAATTTAAAAAAATTTATAAGTACAATATTTATGTTTAAAAATAAAAAATAGATTGAGAGGCATTTGATTCAAACTGATCAAGGAAGTTGAATTAATTTATTATATGATCCTAAGTTTGCATCCAATAAACATGCCAAACGCATTATTGAGATATCAAAAAAGTCATCATGAGTGATACCAGTCTCATATAATATGGGTTTGAATTAGTTTTTATGAGAGATGATAATACGCTCAAAGTTTGTAGGATGTCAAGTGATTTTACAAAAAGTTAAAAAGTTGAACCAACTTACTCTTATAATTAAGGAAGTTTGTATTTTGATTTTATGAGGAGCATTTGGTGAAAATGTAATAAATTTTTTGAATTTCCTAGTTTTGCTTATGAAAAACACAAAACAAATACATTTTTTCTTATAATAATAAACAAAGGAAGTAAAACAATAAAAGATAAATCAATTATAAATTGGGTATAGTAAAAGAGATTGGTCTGCCACAACATAGCAACATAACACTCCAATAATTAAAAATAGGGAGAATTTCATCTCGGGCTTTTGATAGAGGAAATATTGTAGTTAGGGTAGGAAGAATTTTAAAATTACTTTGCAAGCTCAAGGATCTTTTGCGAATATGTTTTAAGAAGAAAATACATAATTTTTTAATAATGAACTTCAGGTTTACTTTCAATAGACAGTTACTTATTAATATATGAATTTAAAGTTGTAAATTGGCAAACATCTAGTTATGAAAATCTAAACCTATTGTCATAATGAACTTTAATTATGAATATATAAAGTCATAAATTTTATATTTTAACTTATGAGTAGATGAACCTATATTTGTAAATATTTAAATTTTAAATTTTAAATTTATTAAATTAGTTAAGATCAACTTTTCAATTTTATACAAAAATTTTATTATCAACAAATAATTACTTATTAATATGTGAACTTAAAATTGTCAATTGTTGAACATATGATTATAAAAATCTCAACTTACACTTATTGCCTTTCTTTATTGGCGGCAATTGTGTCATTTTTTTTTTAAAATATATTTACAAAAAGAGTTCTTAAATCTGCAAAATAATTTCACAATATATTGGGCTTTGAGGACAGTTTTGTTCCCTGTAACCCCATAAAAAATATTAAACTTACTAGAAAAAAGAGAGGGTGAGAGAGAAGCAAGTGGAATACTGACGTGGTGACGGAGGGGTACAGGTGGTAGAGAGAGAATAAAAGAGGGTGGAATGACAAAATGGGGCATGGAAGTTGGGGGGAATTACAAAGATGAGGACGGGAATATTATGAACAGATAGAATGGAGAGGCGTGCGGGGGAATAAAATAAGGAGCACTAGTAATAATAAGTGGACGGGGGGCGGAAGAGGCAAACAGGGAGAGAATAAAGGCTTTTAATTAATTAAGTTATTTATTTATTTATTAATTATTAGAGAGAGAGAGAGAGGGAGGGAGAGTAACGAATGATTGAAGAGAATGGCGGAAGGAGAGGAAACAGGAAGTAAGGGTTGCGTGGCAGGTGAGGCATGTAATTCACATGAAACTTCATAAAATATGGACACACGTTAATGTTCCCAACACAAAAGCACGCAGCTTCAAGGGTTGTGCCTGTCCTTGTGCCTTCCAACCCCACAGCCACGCCTCTCATTTATCCTTTTTATTATTATTATTATTACTATTATTTAAAAAGTTGTTCTCTCTCAACCGATAACTCTATATACACATTTCTAGAGTAGAAATGAAATCCTGAATTATGTTGAAGCCTTTAAGAAGCTTGGATTATTACTATCAGTGCCACGTCATTTGATCCTCACTTGTCCTCTTTCCAATCCAGTAATCCCCTCATGTCATCATGTGCCCATATTTCACTCGTTTGCTCATTTCCATACCGTGTTATGTACGAACCTCGTACCTATACCACCCATCCTCTACCCTCCCTGGTCTGAAGTTTTGTTCCATGAATTAAAAAAAAAAATTTAACAATACACATCCAGTACAGTCTTCTTAAGACATGGTGTCAAAATTAATCATATTAAGTGTCTCCCAAAATTTTTTAAATTAGAAAAAAATTATGTTCGTGAAAGGTTTTTTTTTTGTTTTAATGGAAATTAATTAATAGTATTAATATATGCTAAAAGAGTAAAAAAAATATAATTACTTTAACAGAAGAAGATTTATATGAGAGAGCCATGGAGGATGAGAACCAGTTTTACAAACCCAATTTTCAATATATGCTTGTTTAGCTGCTTTTGATCAATTGAGCTTTCCTCGAATCTTAATTTTCCCACACAATTATAAGCCTGCTTTCAGTAAATTCGATTTTTCCAACAAGAGCCTCCTTAATGATGCCATCTTTTTACAACTGATCATACCAATCTTGCACATAGGGTCATGGGGACATCAAATTAAACGCAGTTGCGAAAGGCACAAATGTATGGATATTGAACAATAAATATTCGAGGTAGCACACTTGGTGCGGTTGGGGAGCTTGTTGTGCAATACGAAACCTAGGCCTTGTTTGATTGTTAAAAAAAAAAGGTAAGAATAGAATGTATTTTCTCAAGTCCTATTTATAAGTTATTTTTACCAATCTTATCAATATCAATACAATAAAAGTATAACGAATAAAAATTAATGAAATTTTAAACATAACCTTCAAAAAGTAAATAAAATATATGATATTATTTTTCTATCTCTCTCTACCCCTTACTTTTTAAGGGTAGTTTAGATATTTTATTTGAAACAAAACATCACTATTAGTCTAATAATTTATAAATTGAACTACTTTATCCTTCTAGAAAGTGACCAATAAAGTGGATAGAAGGAGTATTAAAAAAATTAAAATAAAAATGAATCGAATCACTATTTTTTTTCATGATAAAAATGATAAAACTCAATATTATATATCGTAGATGTATGAATCATCATACCTTTTAAAAATTTTATAAATCATAACTCTCAACTCACATGAATTAAATTACTCTTCTACCTTATAAATATAGTTTACTTATCTCTTTCCATATCGTTTTTTTTAAGCAAATGATAGGTTATCTCTTTCCATGTCTTGATCATCTTATTTTTACTTTTATTTTTTTTAATTCATTTTATTAATTTCTAACGACCAACGACACCGTAGAGTTAGATACTAGTACCAATTACTATTTAGTTTAATGCGATAACTATAGTGTTGAATAGCGTACAGGCAACAACAAAACACCACTTGGTATTAAAATTATTCTCAATCACTTAGAAAATTGGCACGTAGTTGTCCTCCATTGTGTCATTTTAACTCATTTCTTCTATCGGTTGACTTGTCACATGTATGCATTTGCCCCTTTATCAATGAAAGCTTCGCATTTAGATGTAGTACAATAATATATATATATATATATATATATCAAAGAAACAGATCCACAAGTACATTCAATGAGACTACAAAAATTTAAGTTAAAATATATATTGAATATAAATAGGTTCGAATTTAATTACCTTTTATTATAGTAAAATATTGAATGCATAATTTGTTTATCGGCATTATATCGATGAAAGTGTAGAGAAAATTGAAAAAAGATACGCACATGAAAATAAGAGATATTAAAATTTAACGTGTTGCGATCCAAGTTTTGTGAACACATATTTTTGGTTTTAGCCAATGGAATCTTGTACGATTCATGCAAATATTGTTTTGATCACATCTATAATTTTTGA